GACTGAGAGAAAATGTTTGGGGACTTTTTTGGGAAGCTAGGGACAAAGTTTGGTATGCCTTAGAGACCCCCCAAATGAGTTTTTTCCAAGTGAGGTGTCACCTGGGAAAACAGGGCATGACTCTGGGACCTGGGGGGCTGTTTGATTTGGGGGGGACCTAGAAAAAGCACGCTCACACTTGAGTGCGCCTTGGGCAATTGCTTAGTGTGGTCAAGGGAGCTGCGAAACTCGGTCTAAATTTTCAAGACTCTGATCAGTGGCCAGAGGCATGCAGAGTCCTGGAAATTAACACCCCAAATTTCCGTGGCCCACAAAAAGTGCTCAGTGAGTTTTGGGGACCGGAAATTATTCTCTCAGTTTTGGGGCACCCACAAAACTGTGAGCACAGAAAATCAATGCACAGATTGTCGATGATTCAGGAAAACCCTCGCTGCTGGCAGCCGGGGCGTCATATCTCAATCTGTGAGATACACAAAAACTGTTCAAATCTGAAGGTTCCAGGAAAATTGTTCGGTGTTCTGGGGGACCCTGGGATTCAATGTCTAAAATTTAGGGAACCCAGGTTGGTGCCAGTAGGTCTGTGGGACTCAGTGGATAATGTCCCAAACTGTGGGGAACCCCAACACCAGGGTCTCAGTGGGGTGGAGGTGGGGGGCAGGACAGGGACAAGAAGCCTGGGAGATACTGGAGCTACTGTCTCAAATTATGGGGACACACACAAAAAAAAAAAACGCTTTATTTGTTTGGGAAGCTGGGGTACAATGCATTATAAGCACCAGAAAAAAAAATTGTCCCCATTCTGGGGAACCAGTTAAATTGGTCAACATGATCCCAGGACCTGGGGGTTGGTGCTTAAATTTTAGGGGACTCATACCAGTGGTTTGTACATCTGTAGGACCTGGGAGAGCCGGGCGGTAATAAATTGTTAAGAACCAGGGACACGTTGTTTGAGTCCGGGGAAGCTAGCGGGGGTTTGGTGTATCTTGAGCTCCGTGTGGGGAGGGGGAACGTTCTTGTGACCCGTAGAAATACTGACTGTATTTGGGGGAGCTGGGGAGCAGTGTTTAAATTAGGAAGCTCGCAGAAAAAGAATATCCGCGTTTAGGGGGAGCAGGGAAGTTGCTCCGTGGAGCCCTGCGGATTGCGGGTTACCTTGAGAGGCCACGCTCTCGGTGCTGGGAAGGAACGCGCCATCCGGGCCGGGTGTCTGGAACAACCCGGGAGCGGAGTACTGGCGCCCGCCCTGGGGGACGTGAGCGCGGGATGCGTGGCGGCGGCTCCGGGAAGGGCGCGCGGGCCGCGCGGGCAGGTAAGCGGGGCTCCCTGGAGCGCACGCCTAGGTGGAATTTTGCGTCGCTTTTGCCTTCTCCGCCACCGAGCGCGCTTGTGTGGCGGGAGCCTGGGCGGAGCGGGTGGAAGGGAGAAACCCGAGAGCGGCGCGGAGCGGCAAGGCGCGGCAGGCGGCGCGGAGGCGGGCGGCG